CCCGGGGACCCGACTTGGCTCCCCCTGGCAGTCCGCGGCCCGGGTCAGGGCACGCACCAGCGCCGAGCCCCAGCCCCAAACTGGCTGCACGTACAGGACCACGAACAACACGGGGGCATTTTTTAATTTGTACTTCACTAAACCCGGCAGGCCATCGATCCCGTGCGCCTGCGGGGAAGCGAGATGAGAATTCCCAAAATAGAATAAAGATCCTTGGGGGGGGTGGGGTTTTTTTTGTAACGTTGTTATTGCTTCACCATTCCTGATCCACAAAACACTTTAGCATTGGCTATGTCATCCAGAATTCACAACACAAATGCACACAATGAAGCATGGTCCTGCTACCGATCTCTGCCATGAAAGCACCCCCCCCTTCCGCTCCAGAGCCACGCACCAGCTCTCTTCCCAGCACAGGAATTTTCCTCACAGAGCTTCACGCTGAGATCTGCAAGCTTCAAATTACAAAGCATCTAATTTGCAGAGAAATTCCAATTCATGCCAAACAAACACCAAAACTCAGAACAGTACACCGAAACCTCTCTAGGGAAATAAAGTGTGCCTGCCAACTTCCAAATAACACCACAGCCACTACCCCGGGGAAGTCACTGCAATATGTTCTTTCAATTTAAATACACACGCGCTCCCTCAGTTTTGCCCACTCACCCCAAATTCGTCTCATCACAATATAGACTAAAAAGTAAAAGGACATTGTCAATCAAATTCAAATACCTGAAATGGAAAGCATTTCATGTCAACACTTACCTTCAAATAAAGAGGGCAGATGAAGCAGCAGTTGCGCAGTATCACTGCTTGCGTTTCCAACATCTTAAATGCCTGTGCGTTTTCTTCATTGACTTCATCTGCATTTGTTTAAGAAAACCTCAGTTTTTATCTCTCTGTGTCAGTAACTCGAGGGAGACGCTCACCCGACTCGCTGTGAACACCTCCAATACGACGCCCGACATGGCAGCCCTGCCGTTCGTTAAACGCACAGGCAAGTCCACTGCCAGCTGATCTTTGGAGTTCAGTACTGTGGAAATGCACAGGAGTTCTGCCCCAAAAAGAGGGAGATTTGGGGAATCTTTGGTTTTTTAGTTGAACATAACATATGCCTTTCACTAGTGCCTAGAAACAAATATTTTGAAGACAAGAATATCAAATTAGTATTTTCCCCAATTTCTTTGTAGTGAAAAATCATAATGAAAATAAGAGGCCCTAGAAAATACAAGGCTTAGCGTAACGGAACATAAATACAAATTCCTGCATAAGCACTGGAAATCTGCTTCAGATGAAAAAGAACGAAAGGCAAACAGTCACCACTTTCATCTGAAAAGATATTTATTTTGAGAACTTCAACTTGCACATTGTACAAAAAATTGACAAATTCAGCAAAAAACCTATAAAACTTTTTTCCCTAACATATTAACATTATAATTTTAAGAACGGTAGGAGTTAAGAAAACCAAAAATAGGCACATTTGTTCCAGTCTGTCTGCAGTAAAGTGTGATTAGAAACATCCCTGTCTTGTTGAGGTATTAAACTGCAAACTTTGGTAATGGTAGAAAAAGACAATTCACTCACAAAAGCAAGCCTTCTCGGTGTCATGTACAATAAACAAAATCGTTCATAAAAAAGTCAGAATTGGTTATTCTCCATTTCCAGGTAGAAACGCAGCGAAACAAAGAAAAAAAATACTCATGTTACCATAATACACCTAGCGTTAGGAGGAAACCTGAAAGTCTGCAGATCCGTGCTAATCATACGCAGCTACAGTGTTCTGTTTTACCCAAAGTACAAAATCCGGCTGGCAAAATTCAACAATTCAGTGCTTATGAGAAATACATATATCTGGTGATTGAGAGCCCAGTCTTCCAGCAAAGGACAAAAGGCACTTAAGAATGGCTTTAGTATATTCCACAATGGCATTTCTGGATAGAGGACAGCACCTGGCTGAACAAATAGTTCCTAGTAAGAAAGAAGTCCAGCTGAGGTAGTACTTCATATTGCTCCAACTACTTGGCTATTCGCAAGCAGCTTTCTTTTTTTTGATATACAAAATTATCAGGAAATGGCTTTTGATAGGTTTGTCAAATGTATAAAAAACACGTTCTTTTTTTTCCAAAAAAACCACTAGCAAATATTCACTTGTGGTAAAAAGATCGTAAGCCAGGAACCATCTTGTACAAACTGAGCATCAAAATGCTGCCAGGGTGATGCACAAGTCTACCGTTATGGCCAAATCCCCAAACGTTACAGATTGTTCTAGCAACCAAGCCATTTTTTTTTTTAATTAAGAAAATAAAAAGTAAAAAAGAGGGGGCACTCTGAGAACTTTCATAATCATTAGCAGCCTTACCGGAAGCACTTTTTAAGTCCATTGAAAAAAATAATTCTGTGCTGATGAACGGCAGTTTTGAGGCTGAGGGGGCGGGGGAAAATGCAAAGGTCAACATTTGGAACAAAAAACAAACCCCACGAACATACAAAAGGATATTCCTTGAAGTTCATCGTTTTTTTTAAAAACAAGGAAGACTTTAAACTTTTTTATGGGTCCGGGAGAACACAGACTACTTCTCTTTTTTTTAAATTAAGCCCATTGAAAACCCATTTATAAGTTTGAACAAAAGAAAATTAGAAGTGCTTTACAGAATCACCGTCCATTGCCGTATCCAGGAAAGAGCTGAGTTAGAATGGTCTGCAGTGTTTCGTTCACTTGCATGGTGTAATTTTTGCCAAGATCGTAGCGGCAGGCTGGACAACTGTACACATCGGCTTTGAAGGATCTATCCAAACAATCCTGGTGGAGGATAAAATAATAATTGGTTCAGAAAAATGTGCCGTTTAGCTTATTGTACAACACCCCCCCCAGGAGAGAATGCGATTCCTTTTACAGCCTAGTCCATGAGAGCTGAGCAGGGCCGAGAGCGACGCAAGGCTGGCAGCTGGGGAGAAAGCTTCCTTCGCTACGTGCGATAACAGCACGCGCACTTCAGCAGAGCGTATTAGTCACGGACACAGTAGTCAGGTACACGGCAGAGATGTGTCATTCAGGTACGTTTCTAAAGATGAACAATTCCCCTGCAGCTGTTAAAGTCTGTTGGAGCTTCTGCCGAGACCCTTCCCATCCCTCCTCAAAACCCAAAGCCAAACCCCATGCGCTCTGTAACACTGCCGAGTCGATCCGCGTCACCCAGCAGGGTCACCGAGCCCCCAGAGAAGCCCTCATCACCTTTTAAGAGAATCAGATAGCAGCAATGCAACAGTGGAACTTTCTTTACAGCACAGACTTCTCTACACCAAAGAACTTCCATTCAATCTTAAAGTTTTAAGATATAAACCTGACTCATGCTAAAAGACTAACTATTGGCAAAAAAAAACCCAAGCCTGCATAGACCCCCACCTCTCTCACCACTAAACAAGTCAGCTTGAGGCTCGTTGGCTCAAGGGAACTCGACAGAGGAGCGAGATCGACTGCCCACCTTGCAGACGTTGTGCTGGCACACGGTCGTGACTGGCCGAAACACAACCTCCTGACAGCAAATACACAAGAAGGCCTCTTCAACTTTGTTTAGAAATTTCTGTAAAGGGAACGTTTGAATCAAGTTATTTCTCCTACCCTCCGAAAGACACAGCCAGAAAATCCCCCCACCTTAAACGCACGGGATTACTTTAGACAGAGAATGTTTTTCTACAAAGCTCAACACGGAAAGAAATAGTCACATTAACAAGTTCTTACACTTCTTCCTGATGCCAGCTACAGTGCTTTAAAGTTCTGCTGTGGATGTATAGACTAAGAAAGAAAAACTATAGGTCTGAGGCCGTTTCTTGAATGCAGCCAAGAGGTTTGTGTCTAGGGACAGTACGCTAGTTAGTTGTCGCTTTATTTACCGGTCCATCTTTGAGAGCTTCTAGTACTTCATTCCACAGTTTTTCATTGACTTCATCACTTTTTATCAGAGATTTTTGCTGAGGTGTCAGCTTGTATGGCTCAACTTTAGTTTTCTTTGGAGTCCCTGTAGGAGAGGTAACGAGTTTTTGCTCTCCACCTGAAAGAAAACACAATGACTTTTTAAACAAACAAACAAAAAGCAACCAGAAAAGAGTAACTAGGTAAAATGCACAAAAACCTACAAGGCGTTCTACATCCACTTGCCTACTCCACAAACCTGCTGATTTCCTTTTCCTCTTTCCTTTCCCCAGGGTATCAAACTCATCATCTCCATTATTTTCTTTTTCCTTATCTTTGTTTGCAACAGCTTCCAAATACCCTTCAGGATACTACAGGAAAACACAAAACACAAAGCGTCCAATGCAAACATGCCGGTTCATAGACGTACAGGTCTACGACAGGTCAGAAAGATGACCTCTGGAGAACTGCTCCGGGGGTTCTCTATTTTAAGGAGCTGATCCCTGCGCTTACGAAGTATTTATTCAGCTATAGAAACTCTATACAAGAAAGTGAATTTTGTCCATTCAGCCTCCCGACGTAAAAAGAAAACAAGCCACAAGACTGAAAGCACTTGTGTCCCCCTCTGTCTAAAAGGGGGTTGTCTTGGTTCTTACGCAAGGATCGTCCGCAGTAAGAAAGTGTAATAGAAAAAAAAACCTACTATCCATCATGTTCATTGGCCAAGGGAAACACGATGATGTGCCAGAAGTGTACCTGCATTGTTAGGCCAAGCTTCTTCATCCTGTCCTTTCCTTCTTTGGTCCAAGGAGCAGGTTCTTCATCGTCCCTCCTAAGTAAGTAACGCCACACTAAAAATCCGGATTTCCCTGTCTCAGGCCAGTATTTCACAACCTAAAAAAGTCAGATGCAAGTCCATTATACACTACAAAACCCCCTTGGCCATAACCAAATTATCTTCCCCTAATTCAGTACGCCAATGCCAATTCCTCTTACCTTATATATGCCATCATATCTGTTCCCTTCTACGGGAGCGTATTTGCTATGTTTGCCTCCTTTTACATTCCTCACCACTCGGACCGGCTTCCCAGCTCTCCAGTCCTTGGCTTCAGCTCCATTTTTGTCGTTGATGGGGGCACTGCAGTTCAGAGCCAGAGCTCTGCAAGAGAAAGTCAAATCCACTTACCTATATTTACCGGGCAGAACTCCTCAGAATCAGAGGGAGGATAAAAACCTCAAAGACTGCATGGTAAACCAGCTACTAAGAAGTAATAAATTTAAACTATGCTATTGCACTCAGAGCAACACATTGATACAGTTCAGTACAATACTAAGAGTCGCAGCGTACTGGCGTTGTGCTGAACCACAGCAATGGCTACCAAAAAACTGGAAACTACACCTCTGCAGATACAGAAGGAGCCCCTTCTGAATCCCTTCCAAGAAAAGAAGGGCATAGCCTGGCTTTTGTTTGTTTGTCTTAAATAGTAACATTTTCAAGTATCTAGTATAACACCAAGAACTCTGGGAGACAGTAACTGAGCCTCCTGACTGGGGACAACATTTTAAATACACTTATTATTCATCCCATTACCCTACCGTAATTGCGTGGACCACCTCTTCCACTTGAGTCCACACTTACTTGTCAGAGCAACAGTTCAGAATTACCAATGATCTGGTCTCCCAAGGTGACTCACACTGCAAAGGTCTTCAGGAGAGAGTATGAAAACTTCTGCGCTTATTTATTACTCTCTTCTTTAAGTTTCAGTCAATATTAAATGCGAGACTAATACCATTTACAATAGTTTCATTTATAGCATACTATAAGAAGCATGTCCATTGTGCAGCTGGTCTGCATCCTACAACACAGTCGAAACTTCATTTTGACAGTTTTTCCACTTAGCCAGTTTCTTCTGATACAGACAGGACAAACAGTTTTTCAGGTTGACAGACTGCCAGCTACCAAGGTTAGGAATGGAGCGCGAATGTTGCTGACCTGTTCATATTGGTGAGTTTTTGATCACAAGACTGTTCTGCTGTGCGTTTGTTTCCAGAAAGATCACGCCCTCCGCTCCCTGTATATGTGAAGGAATTTCCATGATCCTGAAACGTATACGGATGGTTTCGACACATTCACAAAAAGAACTCAATAAAAGCAGAAGAGTCTTTTAATCAAGTAGCTTTAACACAGTATTCTCAAAAAAGGAAAGATGCCTCTTCTGTTTAAGCTCCTCGACTCAGTCTGTGGTGCTGCCTTATACTGCCAAGAGAGGAGAGTTGGGGTGACAACTGTTGCCTTGTTACACACCTTAACAGGGCCAAGTTCCAGATAAGCATAATGTAACTTGCGCCTCGGTATGTACACTGCTATGTGACCTTGCAGTCAGAATTACAACTTGGAATAGCTACTGAGACTCGTGGCCACCTGTTTTACCCGAGTTCTAACAGGTATTCGGGGTAAAGGCTAGTAGTGCACCGGTGATCTGCAAGAAGAAAGCAGCAGAGCCTGGTACAGCCCAGCAAGGGTTAGGCTTGGCTACCAGAACCATGAGGTATATTCAGCAGCAGAACTTGTGCCCCTAGTTTTGTTCTGAACGCTCCCGTGACACATGAAGATCTGGCAGCACGTACCACGAGACTCTGTTCTAACTGTGGATGCAATGGACACCCTGAAAAGGCAGCTAAGGACTCCTAGATTAAAAGCTGACATATGGGTATTAAACTGAATTTATATGATCCTGCTTCTCAGACTGGCGCATCTTACTGGATAGTTTTCTTCTGTAGAAGAGAAGTATTGTCAGGATGGGGAAATGTCTGATATAGAGTGTAAAACGTAAGGCTAAGTCTTTGTTTTAACTGCAAGGTAGATTGGTTCTCACGCATACATAATCAAGATGAACTTACTATGTCGTCTTCATAGCCCCCTGCCAGAACTAAGGAATAGGCGCCATCGTTACTTCTGCCGTGTATACCTGCCACGTGGGGCCTGTGAACACCGGATTCGCTCACCTGGGAAGAAAAGAAAGTCTGCTGGGCAACTGCTGTCAGCGGGCTGCGACCAATACGACTACCTGTTGGTCTTGGAACTCAATTAACTAACAGTACTGTTTCAGATTTGTTTTGCATACATTACAGGGTGAAACTGTGTTCTTACCACTATCGTCCAAAAAGCTCCAGGTAGAGGAAAGAAAAAGAAAAATCCTTTTAAAAAATAAGCTGTTGAGTATTTCAGTAAACTGAACACATGGATATTTAGAAATTTGTATCTTTCTCTTATTAAAAAGCTCCAGTAATTTTAGGCTAATGCAGGTATTAAAATTAAATGCTTGTATAAGCGGCTTGGTTTTGAAAGATTTGCAATAGCAACCTCCATCTAATACTTGAAAACAAGATCTGGATAGTTCAGTGCTTTTTCCTCCCCAGCTTTCTAACAGATGAGAAAACCTTCTGTTTAATATATCTAGATACTTGAGAGAGACCCTTACCAGCAGAACAAGTGGTACATCTCCAGGACAACTACTGGGAACAAATACGTTTGGTTTGGGGTTTTTAGTCACCAAAAAAGCACCGAAGGAAAAAAAAAGAAACCACCACTTAAAATGCCTAGACAATGCAGCATTAGTTATGGAACACTTGATCTAGACAAAGCCAGAATTCTTTCCTTTCTGCACTTACATATCCAGTGACATACACTCCAAGATTAACTGTTTCAGGCTTCTCGTAAGAGCTGGATCGTTCCCATTTTTCCCTACCGTGGCTCAGGCCAGGATTCAGCTTCGTACCTGAACTCTGAACTTCCACATGGTGCCCACCGGAATCCCAGGAATCGGTCCATAGTGGTTCGAGGGGACAATGGTACATTCCTTTGTGCGACCAACACATGCCATACCCTGTTCCACAGAGCAAGACCGATCAGCCAAGAATTAGAAGGAACTAACACATGCTATTCTTCAAAATAAAACGGCTTTTGAACTGACCTTGCCCCAGTCTCTCCGCGAGGACGAATTAGCAGATGCCATCTTTTGTTTCTTTTTACTTTCTTTTAATTTCTCTCCTGCTAAAACCACCTCGCTTGTATCATTTCGACATTCAGGGCAATACCTAAAGATGCCAGTCAATGAAGATTAGCCAGTAGCAAAGGCTTCAATTAAAAGATCATTTCCTCCAAACATACCAAGTTACATTACAATTTCCCCATGTGAAACTAGACAGGACACAACTCTCCATACTGGAATTAGACCTGTCCTTACACAATCTTCTAAGCCACTGCAGATGTGTCAGGAAATCAGCTGTATCACAAAATCATTGTACAAAATGCTGAAACAGGACACAAGGAGTAAAACAGTATATTTCACTATCTTTATGTACACAGATAGATATATTTCACTATCTAGTTCTATCACCATATATATTTCATATATAAAACAGCATATATCACCAGCCTAATATGGTGATGGGGCCTGTGGGCTACCTGTAAGCGACCCATAAAAATCATTATACAAGTTAAGCCTCCTGGCATCAGGTTTGCATTCGGTTTATAGGTAGCTTCACTTCTCTTTGAATAAGCCTATATATGCCAAAACTCGGGAGAAAAGTTTGAAAGCCACTGGTTTAAAGCACACTCTCACTAAACTGATGCTCAAGAAAAGCTATGAAGTCCTATTTAAAAAAAAAAAAAACAAAACACACACAAAAAACCTACAGAAACACCTCTTCTCCTCGTATGGTCACAATATTGCCACTTCAGGGCAGCATGAAGCCCTAGACCTCACTTTCTGCTCCTAATTAGATGGTAATTGCAATACCCCACACACATACTTAAAACTTACCAATCCTCATCATCTGGTATACTACTAAGGGGAGGGTTGAGGCAGTAGATGTGGAAAGCCATATCACACTCATCACACATTAGCTGTTTATCTGGATCTTGTTTACCTCCACAGATATGGCAAGCACAGACTCTGCAGGTCTTGTTCGGGTTGTCCTTACAAGCTTTACACACAGGTCCATTTTGTCCTGTTAGCAAAAAGCAAACACAGTCGATGCTTCAGACTCCAGAAAGTGTCAACATACACTGGAAAAGGTCAAAGGAGTCACAACAACAAGGCTCTTGGAACTCATAGACCTTTGACCCTCGCAAAGACAATTAGCAGAATATCACAAGGCAAGACTGAGACATGCAAGACAGACTCACGTTTTAATGGACTGGCACTAAGTGGACAAGCACTGCCTGGTTCTTCAATTTTGTAAATTTCATCCACTAATGTAATTCTGCAGTCATTCAAGGAATCACCAGCATCCCTTTAAGTTGATAAAAGTAAAAAAAAAAAAAAAATCAGACTTTGAAAGTACCATACAGCGTGAATTCACAGCTGTGCACGCACATCGGTAATGCAGACTGCGCTGGTCTCAGTCCTGTATCACGAGAAACCTGTTGTAGCATCACCCGATGTGGGACAGCGGCGTGACAGCACCACCACGAATCAAACCATTGTCACGCAATTAGAGCGTACCCCGCCTCGTCTCAATGCGAATCCAGGCACTTGGAGCAGTCAAATTCTTATTACTGACTGTTCTCCCCCCAGAATATATTTCATGCTAACTCTTCTCATATTTTGTAGTTAAAAAGTCAAAATCACTGTAGCGTGAGGAAAAAGGAGGAATATTCTGGCAACCCTGTTGAAACTTGTCTGAACCTATTAAAAAATAAACACTTTTTTCCCCTGAAGTCTAGAGTCCCTTATATGTAGGCTCATTTTCTCCTTTAGGAAAGAATTAGAGCAATTTATCATAATCTTTAAAAAGTGAGAGTTCAGCCTACGTTATTGTATCTAGCACAAACCCTTGCTCTGAAGTTTCTGTAAAACCACTATGGACAGTTATCATAGTAAATAATTCTTCGCCTCTTAGTGAACACGGGGCTCCACACGCTCCCAGCATTCCAGGAGCCCACAGATCGGCATGCCCTGCGGTTCCTCCAGTGGAAGTTAACCAGAAGCGCGCTATGACAAAGTCAATCACCTAAAAGGGACAGTTCCAGCTTCTCATCTCTCCCCAGCACTCCTGTTGCACCATTTTTGTTACATTGGGTTTTTTTTTTTCAGAGTCACTCAGATCTCATGAAAGCTTAAGCGGAGTTTGGGAATTCAATTTGTTCCGCGTTAGGAATTCACTTACCCAAGCAATATCTTTGCATTTAGTTCCTTGATCATTTTTGTTTCCCTTTTTTGTAGAATCTCCGCATCGTACCAAAACCCTCGCTCTTTTGGTTCATCGGGATTATAGTTGACCATCACCACCTGTCCCACTTCTAGCTGGTGCCACTTCAAAATAGTCCGTGCACGAGCCCGTACGTCATTCGAACTCAATTCTACAACTCCATTCTCTGGATAACTTCAAGTAGAAGGGAGGCATGGAGGGACAGAAAAGAAAAAAGCAGATTCAACATCGCAAGTTGTTGTAAGCGTCAGATTTTACCCAGACAGGTCGATTTAAGAATCGATGCTGCGCAACACACAAGAATATCATCAAGAATAAAATCGCCTTTTCCCCCACAGACACAGCCAGAATCGGGCAGTCTAACTCTGTTACAATTGTGTCCCATTTGAAACTTCGATAACGGCATTCTGTACTCCCAAAATAATGATTCCAGCCCACCGGAATCGCAGTTGGAATTCCGGCTGCAAGACAAACCTGCAGTTAACAGGGCTCAGTAATGTAACTGCTGTGTCAGCCTGGTTCTGGTTTTCCTTATGGATCTCTACAATAAAATTTCACATCAACATCATGATCCAAATGACTTTATTAGCCAAGAAGGTAGCAAAACTCACTCTTCATATTTCACGTGGTATATTACATCTTCTTCGGGAATGGTTGTCGGCTGATCAGGATCTGTGCAGCTGTCAGCCGATTCATTTGCAGGTTTTCTTCTGGTTACATTTACAACCTGGGCTTCAAACCATGCTCCCATATTCGTATCTCGAGCATCGACCAAGTCATTGATCTACACACAAAGCAGAGTACACAGCTCACCCAAACGGATTTTCAAATTAGGGGTTAACTTCCAAGTCCACCTGAAGATTTAACCATCTCAAGAACTTCACCATTATCTAGACATTTAACAGATCATCTTAAAAATTGGTATTTCCTTTGCCTTCTGATCGTGTTGTGCCCCCCTACAGCCTTCTCCGGTTGAACCTCTAAGGCTAAACATCCGTTCTACACCGACACATGTACAAACAGCTTTCTTATCTAGCATAAACCATTACTAGCTAGTCTCCAACAGACTTTCAGAATTGTCTTGCTCATAGGCTGGCAAAGACATCACTAGATCTGTAATAAAACCCATTGAAACAGACAAGTAAAATGGTTCTGAACAGCTGGTTGAGATTTTCTTTTGTTCATTCAAGAAAGTTTCAGCTTCAACAAATGCAGTGACTCCAAGCAAAAATATTGGGAAGATTTGGGAAGATTTTTTTAAATCAAAACAGGCACTCTGAATGCCTTTTTTTTTTTTTTTCAGTCAATTAATGTACTGTAGCTTTATTTAAAAGGATAAAATGAAAAATAAGATATGTTGCATTTAATTGGTTTGTGGGTTGGCTGGTTTTTTTTTTGTTTGTTCTTGGAGGGTTTAAGAAAAAAAGAAAACACCCACACAACCGGGCATGAAAGATTCTCAGAAATTCTGAACTACAGAGAAACAATCGCCCCCCGAAGTGCGGTTTTAAGTAATCTCATTTTCTTAACGACTCACCTTATAGAGGCCAAATCCCGGGTCAGTCCAGTCGGGCTGCGCCGCTGTGCTGGGCTGTTCCTTCAGCTCCATGGTACCTTCTCCATTGTGAGAGCTTTTGTCAGATTCACTTTGGCCTGAGCCACAGCCAGAGTCCGTGTCGGAGAGTTCAGAATCCTTTTCCTTACTAACAGCAGGAAGCACTGCTGGGCTTTGTCTGACCAAGAGTTGAACAATATCATTCAGTCCAACACTGTAATCGAAAAGGGAGTGACCGTCTTCCATCTACAGGGAAAGCATCAAAATAATCTGGTCATCTCGTTCAACGGAGGTTTCCCAATTCAAAACCACCCATCATGCTGTAATTGTCTCTATGCACCAAGAAAGACCACATTGCTCGGAAACCATCAACAATCAAGGAACTTGGCAGTTCTTCAGCATCCCAGTTCTTTATAGGTTGTTATTCTTACTATTTAAAATGTTCTTTTTTCAACGGACTCTACAAGCTGGAAGAAAGCTACCAAGACTTCCACGCTGCGGTAGCCTTGCTACCCAGATTAAGCCACGGTGTTCTAGGAGATCTGAAAAGGTTTGCAGCACGTTCCCCAGAAATAGCAATTCTGGGAAGGAGGACTTAAAAAACTACGTATCCCCGACATTCCTAACAGGATTTAAAGATAATTCCACATTGCCTACAAACTCGCGAGGAAGCTCTTTCTTCCTTATTTCACATGCATCCCGCGACACGCGACACGAACATTAACGCAGACTGGTCTTCATAGTGTAACTGCGTATGTTCCAGATTATCGTTACAACATCGCTCTGTTAAATGCAGCACTAAGTAGAAGCCAAAGAGTTAATCATCTGCTTCTCTCTGGGCAAGTGCACAATTTTTCCATTAAAAGTAAAATCAAAAAAAGATTCAATTCAACTCGAAACTACCCAATCACTTTTTAACGCAGCCAGGCATGTCCTAATTTCACACCCTTTCTAATTTTAAGAGTTTATTTTGCGAGTCTGGCACCATATGTAGTCAAACCAAGATCCTACCCCGGCAAAAAGTAAAAGCAGTACAGAGGACCAAACATGTCTCTCAATTACCTTTCAAGAACTCAGAGGAGCGCTACCATTTTAGAGTTAAAATGTAATACTCGAGACCACATTGCAGTTAGAAGTTTAGACAAGCCCCATCACATATTTAAGGTCTGACTAAGAAATTATACAGGAAATGATCATCCCCTTCCAGTCCAAACCACCAGAAAAAGCAATCCCCAGAGCTTTGTTCTCTATCAGGGGGAAACAGAGCAAAACCACAAGAATTTACACTTCACAGGAATCACTATGATAATTCAATTCTGATTTATGGCATAAAATGGCTACGGAACAATCCCTGGAAATCTGACTGTACAGGAAGTGATCTGGACTTTTTCTGGTTTAGAGATGAAAAACTCATCCAGATACACAAGAGCAAAACCAGAAATCAGTTGTTTCTTCTTAACGAAGAGGCAACACCACAGCTATGATATCGTTACCAACAGCACTTCTCACCGAGGAGCACAAGGAACAGGTGCAAACAGCAATGGAAGAGCAGAGAACACCACGAGGACACGAAACCGCAGGAGTTCAAAGGAGAGCCTGAAAGAAGCGCCAGCATCTGGAGATGCACCTCTAACAAAGGATGCAGGTTTTTTAATTAACAGGCAGGAAAACCTAACACCATTTAAAAATTTTAGCTACTAAGAATTTGAACATTTCCAAGGAGCCAAAAAGCCAGACACAGCACGAATGGGCGCAGCAGGGGACGATGACTAAGAGAGGTTAGATCACGCTGGACAAATGTTTCTGTCTAAAACCACGCCTAAACTAATAACTACGGGAAACACACCAAGAGGAATTATCTGTGTAAGGCAAGCGCATCCTTACTGAAAAAAAAGTGATCACTTCTACTGAAAATCTCTTTAACCTTGGTTATCTGCACAGACTTCAGTGTAAGTAAGACTGACAGTTGGTACCTGCCCTGGATGAATTCTCCGTTATCACCTGATCTAAACCACAAATGGGCAATTACTGCACCCAAATCTACACTAACACAGAGCCAAGGTGACACAAGCCCTTCAGAGATGCTATATATTCCTACAAGCCTCTTTTTTTTACTCCTACTGGTACCCAAGCGCGTTAGGTTAAAGCTAGCCCCGGTGTATTTCCACATCCCAGTCACACCTGCTGACTGTAGGGTACAGCTAGCTCCAGTCATCCCAAAATGGAGGGAAAAGCGGAAAAAAACGACTGGAAGAAATCATCTAACCCCACCCCTCTCGCAGTATTCCAGCTGCCGCCTGAAGCAGCCCGCTATTTCTGAAATGAATTTCTTTGAACGAGCATCCCCCAGTTCCACAGTTTCTTTACCGTGAAGGTTTGGCAGCGCGGTGCTACGCAGGGTGCAGAAAAGGTGTTTGCGAACAGCCTCAGCCGCTTTCAGAATTAGTTTAGATGCAAGTATTGACTCACGTAGAAGAAAACAGTTGTACGACCGCGATGGGAAACACACCGCCGAGGATATAATCTATCCCTGAGCCGCTCGAGCAAGTTCTGCGCCCAATGAGATTTTGATACGAGAGCAGAAGAGCTTAAAAATCACGCGCTGCTCTTCCAAATCCCCCAAGAAAAACGGGAAAACGGGATCTTGACGGCTTCCAGAGCGGTAAAACCCACCAGGCTCGATAACTGGAAGTGCCAGACCACCAAACCCCTGTGATTTCAGAGACTTTCGCTGAGAAGACGCTAGATATAAAATAATGAGGGGAAAAAAAGAAAAATAAAAACCCAACACCACCAGGTAGAAAAGCAGGCCGCTGCCTGGCTGACCCCTCTCCTCGCAGACCCCCGGCTCGGGCAGGGCCGGAGTCACTAGATGGCAGCAAACCATCCCGCGTCCACGCCAGGGGAAAAAAATAAATAAATTAAAATATCCCTCC